CCTGGTGTAATATCATGATTGGCATTCATACTTAGCTGCCAGGCCCTGAAGGAAAATCTTCCCCCTCTACTTCTAGAACAATTCCCTCCGAATTGTTCCATTTCACTTCTTTATATATATATATATATATATATATATAATTATTTTATATTATATTATTCCAAATAATACAGAAGATCAAAAATTTGACTAAAATAATTTTAAGTAAATCTTTCTTCTTTTACACGTATTGATATTACATCTTTATTAAATAATATATATGCTATAATATATATATTTCTCTCTATATATCTCTCACTACGGTTAGAGATAATATGAACAGTTTGAATTACACCTATTACTCACTTGGGTATATTGTAAATAAAGGCGAAGATTACTATGACCACGACTGCCACTTGTGCCCGTCCATAAGTGCAGAAAGATCTGGCTCTCAGTGGATGGCAGACTGCGATGTACCTTTCTAATGTCACTATTAACGTCAGGTACACAGTTACAAATTGCGCTATGCAAGCTAACGGATACAGGTATCTGATGATCTTTGGATAGATAATAAATTTATAATCGAATAGTAGGTCGGTGTACGTGGTAATCGCCGGCAATCCGTAAATCAATACCTGCAAATGTATAATTTTTACATGCTATTAACAATTACATGTTAACGATAAGAGTTTTTTTATGTCAGATCAAGCTCTTTTTAATTATACATATTCATTAGAACTTTTTTTCGCGTATTTCAATAAATAGCAATTAATATAGTATAATTACAAATTATAATAAAGTAAACTTATTTTTTTAATTAAATAGAAAATAAGTCTTTTTATTATATTTATTCGTTATGTTTTCATTATATTTTGCTTTAATTTTCGAGCTATTAGAGGTTCTATAATTTTAAATATATATAATTAAAAAATTATCAACATTTATCTCAATTTTGATATTTTTGTTAAAAAATATTCCATTCTCTAATCATTTTCTACTTTTCGTACGCAATAATTATTTTAAAGATTCATATTCCTTCTGTTTTTCAATAAAATCTTTTTAGCTGTTATTTATTGCAAAATGTAATGTTTTATAAATGCATGGTTTTTCTGCTCGTGGGGTTTGATCGATGAGTGAACAAATAGTTTGTTAATGAAAGAGAGAGAAAGAGAGAGTCCATATGATTAATTAATAACCGGAGTGGTTTATGTAATGTAGTCTTGAGAGAGTTAATACAGGATCTTGTGTACGAGCTTTACCGGCCGATCTCTTTTACCGGAAGCTTCTGCTTACCTCTACTGCTTAATGCTATTAATCTTGACTTTACCCACGAGATCAGGAAACAAAAGGTAATACTACTGGAATTTATTTACATAAGCTTGACGCGTAGTTCATATTATCCTTGTAACATCCTGGCGAATGTGCGCGCCATGTATTTTCGACGATATTAATTTTCCTCTCCCAAGTCAGAATTGATATTGTCGAGGATAAATTAAAGAGAAATAAACAAACTATGATATTAATCCTTTATATTATATTATTTTTTGCTTTACAGAGCAAAAAAACTCTGTAGCGCGTAATCAATATTACTTTCACAATGCTATTATAAAATATTTTATTATAAAATATTTTAGAAATGAACTTTCTCTCTCTCTCTCAACGGTATTTTTATGATATTATCTTGATTTCTCCTCATAAAATATTTTTAAAATTTTTGTGTGGTACTTTTGGATTTATATATTATATACAATAATTAGTTACATCCATCATATCATAATTTATTTAAGTTATTTATATATCTATACTGGCTGGATATATGCATTTTTTAGAACATGTAAAAAATATATGCAAATTATAAAATTTATGGAGATTATTTCTACATTCATTAATAACAGCTTCTCTCTACATTATTTTTGAGTTTATATAAAATCTATAGGGGGGAGCATATATGTAAAAACATATGCACATTTGAGGCAAAAATAAAAGAACCAATATATGGCTATGAATTATATATTTAAAGATATAGCTTAAATTATATGAGATAAACTGGAACGCGCTACTGTGGTATATATTAAAAAGGATTTATTTTAATGAAAAGCTCGGCTATATTGCAAATTTACGGTTGTGGAAAACGCAAGACTAAGCATAAAATTAAAATGATATCTGCATTTAATCACTGCGATAAGTCTGCGGCTGATATGTTTTATGAAAACTGAATTCCGATATTGAATGCTCGTTATTAAACGTCACGATAATCTTTTCCGATCTTTGACCACTTCGACGAATTGATTAATCGCCAAATTCATACAACGTAGATAAACAGGAAAGTGTTTTACATTTATAACCCGTTAGTAAAAAATCGTACAAGGAGATTCTCAGTTGGAATAACGCCTTGATGAAAATCCACGTTCGCGTGCAAGGTGTTAATTAAACCCTATGAGATTACACTTTAATAATAAACAAAAATCTCGCGAACGCAATACGAAGCTGTAAAGTTGTAAACTCTCTTTCTCTCTGCACTTCTCTAATTGCCTTCGGGATATAAATTGACATTCGCAAATCTATCAGTTTTTTTTTCAAAAATTTTTTAAAAAAATTTAATGCATTTGTCAATTATATTTTCCGCATTTCTTAACCTTTTAATTTATTTTGGGTGTAAAAGTTTATTAGATTCTATCTATTTTGTTGAATTAAGCTTTTCAAATTTTTAATATTTACTATCGATTATTCGTAAGTAACTTTTAAATTAAAATTATATTAAAATAAGATTAATCTAAAATTAAATAAATAAAGTTTTGCTATATATTTGTAACATAAAAATCATTTCATTTATAATTTTGAAATTATTAATGTTTTGCACTAAAATAAACGAAATTCTTTTACATCTTGTCCCCAAACATTTGTGATAGTCCTCTGAGACATCTGAGACTCTATTAAATTGAAAGGATTAAATCTGTTATATTTGAAAGAAACACTCAAAAAAGTGGTATTGCAACTACAGCAAAAATTTTCTGGGTGCGCAAAATTAACTGAGGTACATAAATGATTAGCAAATACTGTGATATCGCATATGTTTCGCATTTAATCAATCTAAGTGACAGAGACAGAATTTATATCTGAACTGTTTGTGAAATTTAGAAAGAATGTTTTTCTGTGGGGCGCCTATCCATGTTAAGGCCAATCATACTTGTTATAAAGTTTGGCTGTGGTATACAGAAAAAATTAGCGGCAAGAAACAAATGAATATATAATCCTCACGTCTAACATATTTGTATAACGCGCTCAATCTATCTAGCTCTTTTAAACAATTTCTCTCAATTTTTCGATGCTGCAGTTATAATTGGCAGTTATATTTCTCATAAAGATCGTTCTAGCTGTAGTATCGAAACTCATATTTATCCAATGCAGTGATTAACATTTGGCAATGGGACCTAAATTTTCTAGAAGATATTATTAGAATATTGCTGCTATAAATTCTATATGTAACAGACAATATTCTAACAGATACAAAAAATAGCGATAAATTTTTGTTGTGACACCTAGAAATCTACCTATATCAGCAAGACATTTTTTTTGAGTGAATAGACTCTCCTATATTACTTTCTGATTATCTTCGTGTTTTGAAAGCATCGTTAATAGAAAATAACGGTAACAAAACATTGTTATAAGCTCTTTGAAATGCAGGTCGATTGCTAGGAAACGATAAATGTTTTTTTTTTGAAAAATTTTAGCTATGGGTATATGGATGATTGATTGGCAAGTACCAGATCCGACGATACTAAACGTGCTGGGTTATCTAACTGCAATCACGAGGCATTCCACGATCCTATCGAAAATCGTTTCTGGTCATGTGTAACAATTAAACATTGATTTTCCGATCGGTGGGTCGCGAATTGTGATACGTCGCAGTTGTTTGTGTATCACGTAGAGGAAAACTTTGTTGAGAGAAAAGGGATATATTTTTCATATTTCAGTTCAATATATAAAATATAGAGTAGAAATGAAAATATTTATATGTATATCAATGAATAGAATTAATCGAATTTAATAAATAAATCATAAAATATTTATAGCGTATCATAAAATAAATAAACATGTTTTAATATTACATGATTGATTGATTGATGATTGAAAAATATTGTTCGTTGTTTTTTCAAAGAGCAATATTTAAAAATGTAATAATTAAAAAATATCTCGACAAATATAAAATATTGACATTTGTAAATATTTAATATAAATATCCTTTATCCTTTGTTAAACAAAAGAGACAGTAAAATATTATTTAAACACATAAAGCTCGTAAGGAATGAAATGTGCGTACGTTTAATATACTAACTCTTTCATGTCATTTCTTCGTAATAAAGGCGAGGAAGAGCTCTCGACCACTCAGATAGATTAATTTTGATAATTTCTTTTACAAAAATATTCTTTTACAGAAATATGCAATATTCTGCTTCATTTTACGCGATATTATATAATAATTCTATCGCATAAAATTTAATTCTGTATTAATGCTAGCTTGTAAACTTGTTTTTTAAGTAAAACGAAATATATTTTTTTCGTATAACTTCGCAATTTTTTTGAAGTATCAAGAAATGAAATCTTGCATAAATGAACCATTATTTGCTGCACATTCCTTATTCATTCATAAATTTTACAGAGATTATGCTTTATGATCCTAGCTTTTTGAATTGCATTTTTTATACTTTTGTTTCTATTTCTCTTTTTCTGTAAAGGTTAAATAGATTTAATTTTTGCGCAGAAAATGTAAAAGATAAAAAGATGTAAAAATAAAGACAGATACGCTTACCGCGATGATAATCAGCACCGTGTCGCACCTGGCCAGTCCAATCAGTAGATAATTGATAGACGATTTCATTTGCGGCCGCGACAGGATAATCATCGAGATTGCGTTGCCGAAGATCCCGAAGAGACCGATCAGGTTGATGAATATGCCGTAAACGATGAAATCAGACAAGCCGTTGGTGTTCTCCTGATTGCACTCGAGCGGTCCAACGTTACTAACGTTGCTGGAGTTCTGCGCAAGCTCGTCAACATTGTAATAACCGGAAGCGACCGTCGTCGTCGAGCTCATTTCCATCGTTCAGTTCCGCGATTCTCTACCACTTCGTCCCGGTTTTGCACTGCCCTTCAATCTCGCTGCCTTTTCACGTTACCATTTTCTCGCAAGCTCTTCGTCCGTCTCTGTTTATCTTTTTCTTCTGCTTGTTTTAATTTTGGTCGTATCTTCGCGCTCCTCAAATTTAACAACTGCAAATCATTTGTATAATTTTTGCTTTAATTAGTTCTTCGTTATTGCGTTTTTTAAGTTAATTTGATTCTTAAAAATACTTAGTTGGAACATTGCCATTTCTCCGTTAATATGTATAGATATTCTGTTAAGATTTTAAGAAGTATTGATTGATAACAATATGCTAATAGGTTGACTATATTTTGCAAGTTTAATAAATTATATAAAATGAAGAAAAAATTACGCGATTATTTTTTCATAAAAATATGACATTTGATAAAAAAATATACTTTATAAATGATAAAATTTATCTATTATAAAAATTATAAAATTTATCTATTATAAAAATATATTTTATAAAAAGGTTAAAAAGATATTATATGTTCCAAACTTGTAGAATATTTCGTGAAAAATACAGGCATGATTTGAAGTTACGCTAAGGCGGACCATTCGTCTCACAGATTACTTATGACTTTTGAAATTTGTTTTTCTTTCCATGCGTGTATACGAGCTTCACCATCTACATGCATCTGTTAACATTTCTTCAAAATGACTGTAATTTTATCGGAATATTGAGAAAAGACATTCGCTCGTCTTTCGCAGGCATGTTTGAAAGTTAAAAATCGATATAGTCTTCTTTAAAAAAGCATGAAAAATTTTATGAAAAGGAATTATCTTTCACCTTTGTTATCAGATATCGACTCGTCGATTCGCGTTCGCGTTGTCTTTCAAAGTCAGAACTTCCTCGAATGAATCTGGGTATCATAACGTCGATCCCTCGTTGTACTCAATCTATATATTTTGCTCTGTAAATTATCTTTAATCGTGTTTTGCAGAGAGAATTAGATCGGCTTTATCGTCTTCGTGTTGAGAGTTCAGCGTAGATGCTTTTTCGATGTATCGCTGTTTTACGACGGATCACGAGCCGCTTTGCCATCCGAATCCTGTGTCGCAGTAGTTTCGCCGATGGTAATCTGTAAACTAAAAAGAAAGAAGAAAAAATGCACGTTTATATCTTCTTGAGAAATAAAAAGTGGAACTGTGTTTATACTCCAATCAAATAAAAGAAACATAAATTAGTTGAATCATTACTGCAATAATGTAGAAATATAGGTCCAAAATTATTAGAATCATGAGTAAAAAATTGAAAAATTGATATTATTTTGTCAAATTCAAATTTCGAGGCTCTATGTTTTTTAATCTCTTTTTTTTAATAATAAAATATTTCTGAATGCAAGTAAAAAATTTTACATAGATTTTTAATATTATTTTATTTTATGCATCGGGATATCGGAGCTTTTTTTTCTCCTATTATTTCGCGCTGTCACCCATGAATGTTATCAGAATTTTTCGTTGTTTCAATTTAAAATTTCAACGAGCGCGTATTGGGAACTCATTGTTACTAGTTTATCGAGCAGCAGCGAGAAAACGCGTTGTTGTTACATGACTGTCAGTCGTTCACTGTAACGTTTACACTCGAGCTTTCGAGGGCGCCGAACTTGATTGCAAACAAACACGGTCGTCTCTACGTAGCTATATAGGTAGCGCGAGTTATGGAAAGTCGCAACGGAATGTCGTTAAAGGTATATCTCTCGCGTTCAGTGCGTATCGGAAATCCTAGCCGAGTAATCGCATGAGTTCGCCAAGTTAGTGCCGACGAAATATACATTTTGCATGACGGAGTCTCTTTTGGCGGATAATAGCAATTTGATTCATCGATCGGGTTATTCATAGTCGCCCCTGTTCGTGAAACTTTTTTGGCTGGTCCCGCATTAATTGGATCATCAATAATTGGATCATAATCGGTATGTGAATATTTATTTAAGAGAAGAAATTTGAACACGCTTAGAAAAACTGTCGAAAATTAATGCGCATGTTAATTTATGTTTGTATTTTGTTAAAATCTTTGTAATATTTTAAAGTTGAACTTATTTTTCTATATTCATATAAGACTTTAGCCAAGAAATACATTATTTATATTTCAATATTTTATTGTAGTAAGTATTCTTGACTCTACTTGTATTTGATTTTAAATAACGACCTTCGATTGTTTTCTGAGATTAAAATGTAAATACTTATTAACAAATATTACTAAAATATTAATTAGAAGCGAATCATTTCACTGTTGATTAATAGGCAATATTATATTGACTTATTTTTTGTGCACTCACTTATTGTGTGAAATTATTGTCAAATTATTCTAGAGCAGATATTTATTTCTGTAGTATTTCTGACATGGATTAACGACACAATCAAAAGTTTTACCGGCAATTGCTTTAAATTATTACATCGTACATTCAATAATCTCAAAGATGAAATTGTCGGACAAAGATTTTAAGAAAGAAATACGATATTTTTGACGGATTTGATAAAAATGCGATTACATAATTTGCGATGTGTATGTTTCTATTTATGTGTATAGGGTGTTCATTTAAAAAAATTTCCAACTTGTTTATTTTGTGACTGACTAATCTTTTCAAAAAATACCAAAAGGTCAATTTTTTTTCAAGGGAGACGTATGAGTGCAATAAATTCAATACGGTGCCACTTTATCCCCTTCGTCGGGGTAACATCCCTTTAAAAATGTGAAATGATAATACGGGCCAAGTGGCATACCCTGTATATTATATAAGTACACATACGCTCATAAGGACGTAAAAGTACTTGTACACGTGTAAAGCAAATTAATTGAATTGTATCCTCGCATGACTGATCTTTGGTGACATTCATCCGTTTGAAATGATCCTGCGGTAGCATATACACGATACAGGTGTATATCGATAATTGAGTTATATTTGCCTAATTTCCGCATCGCCGATTTAGTATGCAATTACGGTTTCCCGTATTCCTGATTTCAATTTGCGAACATGTTGTTTGTCTCGGCAGCAACGGCTGTAATTGTCTGCATGATTTTTAACGCTTACAGATTTAAAGAAAAAAAAGGACCCTTCTTAATTGCGGTATTAATAAATGTCACGTCGATATCAATGTTTCATGTTAAGGTATAGAGAACAAATTTTCGGATATTTATTTAATTTTAATCCATCTCCGCAATATATTTAATACTTTCTATTTTAATATTTTTTCATATAATTTGGCACAACATATCTTAAGGAGTGTTAGACATTTTTTTATTTTTGAATGAAATTAAAATATATTATTGAACTACGTTTCTCTCGATTTTACGCAAAGCAAAAAAATAAAACTTTTATTTTTCTATAAGAATAAAATTTAACATGCGCGATTGTTACTTCTTGCGAGACTCTAGGGAATCTTATATAAATATCTTTTGATATCTTTAATGCGAATTGGGATCACGAAGATCAATCGCGAATATCGCCCGTTGTACGGATCTCGCGTTTTTGATGTTGGATACTAATTTGGGACACTATGGGGATTCAAATAAATTGCCAGCTATAAAATCGCCCCATGCTGTTCGTGTGTCACTTAAAGTCGAGAACTAATTTGTTTCGGCTGATCTATTTCTCGCCGTGCGGCTGTCGGTCAATTTATTTTTAAACAGTTCCCCCAGTAGACGTGTCGTCGGATGCGAGAAAGTTTCGCGAACCGGTGTTTTTTCACATGGATTCGGATGGATACTCTCTTTGCTTTTCGGTCTTGGCACGTGTCGACGTCTAGGAACGAGATGGCTGGCCACCTCTTTGATAATGTTGCGTAATAACGGTATTTGCGCGCGTCCGAATAGAAACGGTGCGCAATTTCGTACTTTGCACAAAACATCATGCGCGAGATTTGCAGGCCAGAATAATCTCGCAGCAATTAGATGTTTCTTGCGTTACGTGCGCATTTAGTGCATGTCCGGATTATGATATATACATTAATACATCAATTTGATGAAATATGCAGGATTATCTTGATCTCCGAAATTTATCTTCGGACTAATGGTATACGTGTCATGCTTGTTTCATGCAAAATACACCGTGTTACTTCCTTCCCCCTTATTTTGAGACATTAGTACGATCTGAGAGCAAAAAATATAATATTTATCTACTCTGCATGAAAGATGTATTCAGAAAGTTTTTCTTGTTGCCGCGTATTCTCTCGAGTAACTTCTTAGTCGAAGTTTTACCCTTCAGTTTTTTATTCAGTTTTTCTTCAACTGTGTGTGTGCGACGTCATCGAAAATGGTATCGCGTCCTTTCGGAGGGACACCCTTTTCCGGTGTTCTAAAACATTTTTCATATGATGAAATTGAGCGATGATTTATATACTATATGTAGGACATAAATCATACATTTATTTAGCGAACTTATATGACTTTTCTGAAAAAATATAACTTTTGAATCATATTTTTCTCTGTAAGTCGTAAAAAGTTTTATGGATTCTTAATGTATTTTTATTTATTTTTTGCATTTTATCTCTTTTTTTAAAACATTAAAATAGTCGCTCTATAAGTTTGTCTTACTCCGCAATGATATTATTCAACTAACAGTAAAGTGTGTTATATTGCAAAACAAAAGTCAATTGTATACGCGGTAACACAATTTCCTTGTAGAACGAAACTCATTTCTCTAAAGAGCGAATAAAACTTACGCTAGAAAGGATCTGTTAACTTAATTGTGCAAATGCTATGCGCGAGACAGTTTTTTGCTAATTAATTCTCTTCTAATATATTTTCAGTCTAAGAAATATCCTCGACAAAACTATATTAAAATGGTCGTTCTTAAATTAGTTTTCTTCAGAGCAATGGATGAAACTATGAGAAAAGCCAAATACCATAACAATGCATTCGGCTTTTTTAATGAATTCTGAGGGTAATTTATGAGAAGCGCGCGTTAGCACGAAATGCATCCGACCGCAATTTGCGGTTCGCAAGCAGCGCATTTTTTTCGGTATGTCGCACATTAACTTGCGACTTTATTACGGCTATTACCACGGCATATCTTTCTGTTTACCTCCCCGCGATTTCTACGTTTCTGGTTGACAATCGCGATTTTTTAGACAAGAAAACATGTCGACATTGAACACAAAGGTGACGATATTTTATCTTTGTATCATGCGACTACTTTTTTTTTTGTTTTCCTCCGTTTTATTTAAAATAGAATTAAAGAAACGCGGTTGTATATCAAATGAAAATGTCAAATGTCAAATGAAATGTAGCTATTAAATTATGCAATTTTATTAGACAAAAAAATTAGAATAATTTAAAGTTTCTTCTCATTTTATTATTAGTGATTTGTTTTATTATCAAGTAAACTGGGTGCAACCTAATAAATGCTGAAAATTGAAAGATACAGCTTTTCAAATGTTATATCTATTCTATAATTCTTATTTCAGTATTTTAACATTGTTAATTTATTCAACTACTATACAAACACACATTAAAATTTTACAGTTTGAAGAATTAAAAAATAGAATTTACTCTCGCAGTTATCCAAAATATTTAGGCGTCTATATTTGCTTTTGCTAACAAAAAACAATGATTTCACCAGAGACTAAGCGGATTGTTTTCTCAGGCAAAGTTTTGCTCCTATCCGAATATCGATAAATCTTTTTTCGTGAGTTTATTCCGGGGCATTGTGTATATATGTGTGACATTGTCGTAGGTGTTATGCGAACACAATATCTCTTGTAGTTCGACTAGTTATGTAGAATCGAAAAATAGTATTTATATCGATGTGCGAGGAAGATAGAAAGAGCGAGAGAAGAACAAAAAGTGAGATAGTCTATTAATATATATAAAATATTCGAAAGTTACAGTACGGCGGCACGTGTATTAATGACAGCTACCAGAAATCGAATTAAGAAAAATGAATATACATTATCTTACTGTTGAGACGTTAATAATTCTCGAGCTAGAAGTTATTCGAATATTAATTCTCGAGTCAGCAAATTCTTTTTTGTCATTGCTTTGGAATTTGAATGTTATCAAACGATATATTATATCAATAAAAATATATCTTAACGTAACACTTATTCATTATTGCGGAAACAAGAAAAGATATTTTAATCTTGCAACTAGCTTCTGCCTTGAATTAAACATCCCAGTCTTATTTTAAAACTGAAATATATTTAAAATAATTTCTTTCTATAGAAAATAAAATGTAATTATTTGAAAAATTTAATTCAATTTAATTAAAAAAATTAGCTGATTAAAGAAATGAATCATACATAAACCGGCTCTAGTTACGATATCTCGACGGTGAATGTAAGTGTTAAATGAAAAGATGTCGGGGATTCGGCTGGCACGTACATTTGTCGCTGAAACTTTTATTTACCAAGTGGGTCGCACCGATGTTACGCTTAGTTTCGTTGCTCCCGCAAAGTGGAACGGTCAGGAAATGAGATGGGATTAGTGTCAGTTGTAGGTAATAATGGCGAAGCGTGAACTCAGCAGCTGGTACGGGTGTCGTTTCTACTGCGGACATTGCGGAAGAAAGCTCTGCTCAAAATCTTGTTCTTCGTCTATTTGCATAATTACGTAATTTTGTTCATTCTGAATTTACACCAAAACAGCATCAATCTTGCCGTCGAGATGATTGTGATCATTTCTGAAATAGAATCTTGTTTCTCGAAAATGATAACTCTATGAAATAATGCGAAAATAACATAGACATAAGTAAAAGTACTATTATTAACTTTTGAATCACAGAATAAAAAAATTAACTGAAAAAATTATAGTAAGTTAATAAAATAATTTTATTTTTTATTTAATTTTAAATATTCTAATTAAG